TTCAAGTCAATGTTATTGTTATTATTATAATTTATTATAGCCATCACAATGTCTGGCACATAGTATGTGCTAAACAAATGCTCAGTCCTCCTGGAAAGCCAAATGCATGCAGTCACCACCTGGAAAAGAGGACATTGAGACACTTTCCTTTGCTTGGTTCTAGAAGCGAGAGTGAGTTGTGCAGCAAGGAGGGAGTCAAGTTCTGGGTAGAAGCTGGCAGCCCCACTCTGACTTCTCCTTCTCCACCTCCACTCCAATGATTCACAGGACTCTCCCTGAAGTTGGGGGTAGGGTGGGCTGGGCTGGGACCATCTGGCCTACCTTAGAGGAAGAGAGGAGGAAAGGCCAGAACACAGGCTTCCTGGAGGAGACAGGTTCTGGGGGATCAGGCTGAAAGAAGCTGTGGAAGGCTTGATCTGATAGGGAGTTGCCTCCACAAGTAAACCTGGTGCTGGGCTGGAGGCATGTTCTTCTTCCACTGCCCACCTTCCAGGGCCAGCTCTTTAAGATGGGGGGGGGGGGCTGCTGAGACCCCGAACCAGAACTCTGTACCCAGTTGCCCACAGTTTGAGTAGCCTCAATTGTCCAACTACCCAAGACTCATTCTAGGAGCCTTAGGAGTTTGCCACCCCTCATACATACATATCCCACACCCCACCCAGCTGATGTCAGCAATACTGGGCTGAGCTTTAGTGCCTCCTGGATTTGTTTGACTTTTTCCTTCACTAAGTTAGGAAAGTTTTCTGCCATTATTTCTTCAAACATGTTCTCTATCCCTTGCTCACTCTCTTCTCCTTCTGGCACTGTTATTATGCAAATATTGTTACATTTCATGCTGCCCCACAACTCCTTTAAGCTGTCCTCCTGTTTTTTTTAATTGTTTTTTGTTCTCTGATTGAGTGATATTTTTTTTCTACCCTGTCTTCTAATTCACTGACCTGATCCTCAGCTTTCCCTAATCTGCTATGTATTCCTTCCAATGTGTTCTTTTTTTTAAGTTATTTTTTTTTTACATATATACTAGAAGCCTGGTGCATGAATTCATGCACTGATGAGGTCCAGCCAGCCCACCCCAATGGGGGCCATCAGGGGCAGGCTGGCTGGGGCGAGGGGCCGTGGGCAGGGCCGGCCGGGGCGAGGGGCCACAGGAGTGCCAGTCATTCCGCCGACCAGTTGATTTGCATATTACCCTTTTATTATACAGGACATATATATATATATACATATGTTTGGTTTTTTTATATTGATTTCCGAGTGGAAGGGAGAGGGAGAGAGAGACAGAAATATCAATGATGAATCATTGATCGGCTGCATCCTGCATGCCCCCTACTGGGGATTAAGCCCACAACCAGGGCATGGGCCCTGACCAGGAACCAAACCATGGCCTCCTGGTTCATAGGTCAATGCTCAACCACTGAGCCACTATGGCTGGGTTACAGGTGGTTTTTTGTCTTCCCATTTTGGCTGCCTATTTGGGTTTGTGTCTATGTATTAGGTAGATATGCTATGACTCCAAATCTCTAGTGCAGTGGTTCTCAACCTGTGGGTCGTGACCCCTTTGGGCACAAGCAACCCTTTCACAGAGGTCACCTAAGACCATCGGAAAACACATATATAATTACATATTGTTTTTGTGATTAATCACTATGCTTTAATTATGTTCAATTTGTAACAATGAAAATACATCCTGCATATCAGATATTTACATTACGATTCATAACAGTAGCAAAATTACAGTTATGAAGTAGCAACGAAAATAATTTTATGGTTGGGGGTCACCACAACATGAGGAACTGTATTAAAGGGTCTCGGCATTAGGAAGGTTGAGAACCACTGCTCTAGTTCAGGACAATGTCAGACACTGTTTCTGACTGGCCCTGAGTACCCTGTTTGGAGCTATCAGCAATCCACAGCTTGTGGTTCCCTCTGCTAGGGCTGGGCGTCTTTGTAAAGCACCAAGATGAGCACCAGAGTCTGCTTTTCTTTGCCCTGAGCCTAGAAGGTGATCAGGCAAAGACTCAAAGCCTCCAGAGACCCATCTCTGCCTGCAGTCTGATTGTATTCAGGCTAGATTAGCCTCAGGCTATTGACCACAGGGTGGGAGGAGAGGTCTTCCAATAGGGTGGGGCAACTGCCTTTCCCCAGGCAAAAAAAACACCTGGAAAGCAAAGGTCTGCCTGAGAAAGATGTCCTCCACGGAGTGAAGGAATGACTTAGTACAGGAAAGCAGGGTGGCTGCCTTCCAAGCTCCTGGTTCATAGGTCAATGCTCCCATCTCTGGACTCTCCTCACATAACTCTAATCCTCTGCTGGAGCCCAAGGTGAGTGGCTGCACACAAAATTTTTGTGCATTGGCCCATTAAGAGAGTGCCTGCATTTCCAGCTGTTTCTCCCTGCTGCTTTTCGCAGCCAGATGTTATGTGGACACCTTTCTCAGTTCTGATGCTCTGGGCTGAGGAACCCAGCTTGGGGTTTAGACTCCAGAGTTCTCAGTGGGAACCCCCCACAGCT